GGACATGATCAGAAAGGGGAGGAACTCTTGGGCTAGAAAAATATAGTCTATCCTGCTATATCTGTTATGTGCCGCGGAGTAGCACGTGTAGTCTTTAGCTTCAGGATGCGCCACCCTCCAGCAGTCGACCAAGCCTGACCTAGCCAATGCCTGTTTGGCACTTCGTACGCAGTGTGAGGGGATGGTGCTAGTACCTGTAGACGAGTCTACCCGGGGTTCCAGTGGGAGGTTGAGATCTCCAGCTAGCACCAGAGTTCCTTCCCGGAATCTCTCCAACCGGGAAAGGTTGGCCACTAGGAACCGGTGCTGTCCCTTATTCGGGCTGTAGATGGTGGCGAACGTGTATTTGTGGTCCGCTATCATACCCTTCACGAATAGGAACCTGCCTAGAGGGTCTGCCTGGGTAGCCGTGCTGAGGAAGGGGACAGTGTGGGCAAAGATAATGGCAACCCCCGTGCGCTTAGCTTCCGGGTTGTTAGCGTAGAATCCCTGGGGGAACTTCCTATCCCTGATCTGGGGGGCATCTTTCCCCTTAAGGTGCGTTTCCTGGAGAAATGCTACTGAGGTCTTTTGAGACCACAGGGTTCGGAGCAAGTGTCGTCTTTTTTCGGGGGAGTTAAGGCCTCTAACATTGTGGGAGCGTAGGTGCAGAGGCGCAGGGTTGAACGTGGTCGCCATGGCTGCCGGGCCACCCAGCGGGAGGGGGAGCGGGATCGGGGGCCCAAACGGGAGAAGAGGGAGGTAGGATAGGAAAAGAGGAGGAGGGGAGGGGGGAGAAAAAAAAAAGAGGGGGGGGTGGTGGAGGAGGGGTAAGATGGGGGAACTAGTTGGAAACTGCGTCCGTCAGGGGTGTCAGCCCACTAAGGGCTACGAAACAGTGGGCAACTGTGGCCCTAGGTCTTGTAGGGGAGACCTAATATACAGGGGGGCCAGTTGCTAGGGGGCGAGGAAGTCCGGTTGGTGGAATCCGTCAGGAGGACCGGTATCCGCTCTCCCCCGGCCCACGGAGAGGGGCACCGAATAAGTCTGCTGCTTACTATGAGAGTGGGTTGCCGCTTAAGAGGAGGTCAGTACGGGCACCTTGCGGGTGCCGGTCGGGACTCACAGAGGGGTCAGTCGCCCTGGTCACTGTCAACCTGCGCCCTGTGTGAGTGGCGCGGGGTGGGGGCATCGTGGGGGGTCCCGCTTCTGTCCTGTGGTCACAACTAGAGTGGGGTCACCCTCCCGGATCCCATGTATCAAAGTGAGGGCCTATCCGTCCGGCTGCGAGCTGTCGGTGGTTGCGTATGCGATTCACAGGTCTAATGTGGGAGGGAGAGACCAGTCCCAGTTAGTTTGTCTCCAGGTGCAAGCAACCCGTCTCCACACCCGGGCAGGGTAAGTTGTGGAATTGCTAGGCTCATGTCCGGTGGGAGGCTGGATAGAGTAACGGGGTCTGGTTGGCGTCAGGGACTAGGGTCATTTGTCACACTCCTGTAGCTGAGAAGCTGGGGTACCTAGGCGACCGCATGTCCCGTCAGCAGCTGGGGGAGGTCGAAGCAGGGGAGTACTATAAGCCATTGCTAACCTAACATTGTGGCTTGTAACCTAACCTAAACAACAATATGTACCGGGAGTGGGGGGAGCGGGTCCAAGGCTCTAAAACCGTGTCCGAGACCCATCCCAGGCCGGGCAAAGGACCCTGCACAGCCCGTGGCGCTCTGTTGAGAGCTCTGTTCGGGAGGGCACCAGGAATAGGTAGCCTGCCACTGTATGGGAACTACTGGGGAGGGGGAACAAAAAAAAAAAAAAAGGAAATATATAATTTTTTGCTGGCAGGACCAAGACCAATCAGAGGCCAGGCCCCGGGACAGGGGTCCGGCCGGTGTCAGAGTCAAGCAACCTGATAGGCTGGAGGCCAGAGTGCTAGGGGGTCCTCATGCTGCCTCCGTGGTTGGGAGGGGTCTGAGCAGGGGGGCGGTGCCGGCCAGCGTGTTTAGGGCCGTATAGCGTGTATAGCCTTGTAGCGGGCAAAAACGGGAGGGGGCTCCAAGAGCCGGCCGGGCACATATACAGCTAATCCCGCCCATCAGGCCGTCAGTTGCCAAGCATTCTTTGCCCCGTGCGTCAGGTAAACAGTCCCTTTTGATGCGGTTGACAGCAGCTGACTACATAATATGCTATGGAAGAATGGTTGCATACTCACACACACACACACACAAAAAAAACATAATAAAAAAAAAAAAAAAAATTTGGAGGAAAATACTATATAGCGTAGAGGTGCGGGCCCCATCCGCTTCTCCCCTCTAGCCCCAATTCCCCAAACATGCACCCGCTGATACTGCCACAGGTCCAGGGGCACCTCCCGATGGCCACAGGGCAGGTAGGAGGGGGATTCGAGCAGTCTCGCACAGGTACCCTGGGCCTTAGAGACCCTGCTTCCACAGGTTGTCCCAATTAACCATATCCCCGTACCCCTCCCAAAAATGTCCGAGACCTTAGGGTCAACCCTCCCCATCTGTGCCACGTGCGTAGTCCCGGGTGCTTCATGGGGGGCAGGCGGGCTGCCCGCCAAGTGTCCCCCCTGACTGTGAGGAGGAAAGAAGCTAGGTGCATTCACTCAGTTCGCAGTGTTACCACCCAGGGAGCCCCTGGTAGGGCGATGCCGGTCCGGGAGGGATGGCGCTCTCCGGACACGGGCAGAGATGCCTGCAGCTACTCCTCAGATCCATGGGGGCCCCCCCAGCGCACGGGCTGCGCTTCCCTCTGTGCTTGGGTACGTAGCAGCTGGGGGGCCTCAGGGTGGTCCAAGCGCGGTGGGGGTTGGTCGAGGATCCAGTTGCAGATGGTGACTGGCGGCAGGTCCAGGGCACGTAGGAAGCTAGGAAGGTCATTGGGCCATCTCAGAGAACGCCAGGTATTGTCCTTTTTGGCCTGTAGGCAGAAAGGGAAGCCCCATTTATAGGGAATGCGCTTGTCCTGGAGGATGAGCGTCAGCGGCCTTAGCGCTCTCCGGGCGTCCAAGGTGAGGGTGGACAGATCCTGGTACAGCGATATTGGGGCGTCCTGGAAGATGATGCGTTGCGGGCGCGCAGCTCTCATGATGGCTTCTTTAAGCTGAAAGGAGAGAAGGCAGCAGATCACGTCTCGTGGGAGGCCATCTCTTCTCGGGGGACGCAAAGCCCTGTGGGCGCGCTCTATGTTGTATTCATCCAGGGCCTCTTCCCCTAGAATGTGGGTAAACAGCTGTGGGAGGACATCCCCGAGGTCTTCATTATCTGCTTCAGGAAGGCCTCTAACCCGAATGTTATTGCGCCTCCCCCTATTATCTAAATCTTCTACTTGCCTGCGGAGCTCCAGGAGCACCGACCCCTGTCTGGCCGTGGCATGGTCAGCAGCCTGGGAGTGCTGGAGGGCCTGCAGATTTTCCCTCTCCAGCTCTGTGACTCGGTCTTCGAGGGCTGTGAGATCTTTGCGCACCGCCATTATCTCCTCCCGGATCGCCGCTCTCAATTCCTTAACCAGGTTAGTTTTATCATTTTTAGTGAGCATATTAGCCGAGATGGAGGCTAGCTCGGCCGTGATGTGGGAGAGAGCCTCCCCTCGTGCCGAGCCCAGCTCTGAGTCTGCACCGCTCTCTGCACTCGGGGAGGCGGCGGCCATCTTGTCAGTGGGCCGCATGGTTCGGAGGCCATCGGGGGTAGAAAGGAAATCATCCATCGGTCCGGCGTATTTCCGCGGAGGGCTGTTGCCCGAGGGTCCCGGGGTGCCCTGGCGTCTGGGTTTCCCCATTCTCATGCGGCAGTGTGGCTAATTACAAGGGGCGATGTGGGCCGGGGTTGCGGAGCTCCGGCGATGTACGGCTTACTCCATTTGCCAGCAAGCCACGCCCCCTTTTCCAAGATTTATCTCCAACAACACTAATGAAAAGAAGAGAATTTCAGAATTTCATAAAGTCTCTACAAAATATAAAATATATATGGGGATTACAAATAAAAATGTTAATTCACTACACAGGACAAAATTACACCATTAATTCAGCAGAAGAAGGAAAGGATTTTCTTTATGCATTGGATTCAGATGAAACCCTTATACAAAAGTGCACAAAGAAACCCCATAGAAAGGAACAAATGAAATAGGAAAATTAAACCTATAAACTATTTATTACAACTCTACCAACTCCGAAAGACCTTTTTTTTTCTTCATAATTTTGTCTCTTTGTTCTCTTTAACTAAGTTCTTCTTTATATGGATGTGACCAATTAATATATCATTGTTACTACGTGGTAATATAATTTAAGATATTTCTTATCCCTTTTTTTTTGTAAATAGTTATACAATTTTTTCTTATAAGTAATTTTTACTATTCACTATAGGATGTATGTACATTGAAGGAAAGATTCTTATATAATTGGATGGCTAGAAGGAATATATTTTAATTTGTTAATTAATTGATCAGCAAACCCACCCTAAAAAAAAAAAAATTGTATTAGTTTGTCTCGTTGGTTGGTAAATTCCCCCCCATTAGACTATTGTGGAATACGCTGGCACTGTATAAATGCTGACATGACACAGAGTGTTTCGTACGTGTACACTGGTTCCAATAGGACCAAAGCTCTGAACTATGGCAATAGAGCCCTCAACTCACAGGAAGATGAGAGTTTTGCTGTTTTTGGCAAAAGGTTAAAATATGACTGCGCTGTTGCGCTCATAGATAGAAGAGGTAAGGTCCCAGCCTTGCCATCACTGAGTCACACGTTTGACTCTATTCAAACAGCCAGAAGTGACCTGGGTCCCAAACCTATAGTTCCTCCTAAGGATCCATCTAAAAAATCCATAATAACTTCAGTCAGTGACTTCCAGAGAATCCTGTCCACTGTAAGGGTCAGGACTGATAAGGGACATGAGGAGCACAAGATGGCATGACAGGCCTCAAGAAGTAAGAAGGATATGCTTCTTCTAGTAGCGGAGGCATAAAAGGACAAGGCAGAATTCGAGAGAGTGAGAAGGGTGCAGAAAGGGATGGTTGAGAAGCAACATAGCCAGTTAATGGAGATAACTTCTCAAGTGAAGAAAGAAGTGGGACATCGGAGGCAGCAGTATCAGGGGGACAGACTGAAATGTGTCAATCCTACTGAGAAGGCCAAGCAGAGGGAGAAAAATCCTTGTCTAGTCAGAGAACATGTTCCTGAACTCAAGGAGAAGCAGCTGGAGGAACTGAAAATCACTGGGTCTCCAATCAAGCTTGCAACAGTGGTGACATGGAAAGCTGCGATTCCACAACTGGTGTCCATAGAGGGAGCTTGAGGCAAGACTCACAGATATTGCATAATAATTTGCCTAAAATTTAAAATAAAAGTTTTTTTTTTCTCTCTTATTATATGGTTATTAGTTTGTCTCGTTGGTTGATAATTTCCCCTCCCATTAGACTATTGTGGAATACGTTGGCACTGTATAAATGTTGATTATACTATTAATAGATGACTTGCAGATTTTTTTCCATTTCAGTTATGTTTCCCTAAAATATGACACTAAGTTCACATTTTTTTCATCAATGTTTGAGATTGTTAAATGGAACTCAAAGTGATTTTTTTAATTTTTGGAGCCAAAATAGTCTAGTTGGAAAAAATCTCTCATTCAGAAATGTTTTCAGTAAGAATATTTTAGTCTAAAATGACAAAGGTTCCTTTTAAATTTGTGACAATTTGCACTATAGTAAATAACACAGTGTGTCCTACATTTTTCTTCAACCTATCCTTTCCTTGCATTAGTGAGATTTAAAAAAAAAAATGTCTGTATGCATGACACTTTCACTATGTCTCATGCTTTCATTGTGATGTCACTCAAATCTGTAGTTATCATTCATAACAGTAGACACTGACAGAGCTCATTCATAGCCAGTCTTGGGTTGGATGCAGACATGACATAGAATGTTTCGTACGTGTACACTGGTTCCAGTAGGACCAAAGCTCCGAAAGATGGCAATAGAGCTCTCACAGGAAGATGAGAGTTTTGCTGTTTTTGGCAAAAGGTTAAAATATGACTGCGCTGTTGCATTTAAATGATAGAAGAGATAAGGTCCCAGCCGTGCCATCACAGAGACACACATTTGACTCCATTCAAACAGCCAGAAGTGAACCAGGTTCCCAAACCTATAGTTCCTCCTAAAGATCCATCTAAAAATCCATAATAACTTCAGCCAGTGACTTCCATAGAATCCTGTCCACTGTAAAGGTCAGGACTGATAAGAGATGTGAGGAGCACAAGATGGCATGACAGGCCTCAAGAGGTAAGAAGGATATGCTTCTTCTGGTAGCGGAGGCAAAAAAGGACAAGGCAGAATTCGAGAGGGTGAGAAGGGTGCAGAAGGAGATGGTTGAGAAGCAGTTAATGGAGAGAACTTCTCAAGTGAAGAAAGAAGTGGGACATCGGAGGCAGCAGTATCAGGGGGACAGACTGAAATGTCTCAACCCTACTGAGAAGGTCAAGGAGAAGGTCAACTCCCACCACGCAACGAAACCCTGGCGAAAGGCACCAGCAAGGAAGATCAAAGGCCTCCTGCGTTCATCGAGTACATGAAGACAAGGTACTGGGCTCAAAACAAGATGGAAGCAAGGCTGCCGCCTCAACTAACCAACACGCAATAGCACACCTGCAAGAACTGAGCTTCCACACAGTGCCCGACCAAGGCATTGGCTAAAATTCTTCCCACGGAACCAGGTGGTCCACAGAGGTCGAGCATACACAGCGCCTGATTTGCCACCTGCTACGCTATCCTGTAAGCCCGTTACCCACCCAATGAGACTTTAACTTTAACCTGCGCTGAACGCCTCGTATTTGACTTACAAACATGTGCATCTGACCTAGTTAAGTACCTGCAAAAAAGCGGGTTAGCCCCCAGCAACCTACAGCATGACCTAGCCTACCTAGTGTACACCTCGCAGCCCATAGCCACACTAAGTTGCAAGTGATATAATTACTGGGCAGCCGAGCAGTACCTACACAGGCAATTACATAGATATAAATATTTTACCTAGCACGTAACTCGGCCATCTACTAATAGCCAGGTGGTTCACCCATGTTATACCTGCCTTACCTGACCTACCTAAGTTGTTAATCCTGTTATGTTTATGCAATTTCTTATTGTTCTGCTTATACGAGACCAGAAACCATTTCACAAAAAAACTGAGGCTAACTACTTTTATTACTGATATGCCTAACTTGTTGGTAATACTATGACACGCTTAATTAATATAAAATGAGGCCGTTACTCGTAGGAGATGTTGCAATGTATTATCCTGCTCCCAACCTGTATAAAATCGTGCATCCCCTTTTTTTTATTCTGTACCCCACTTCATATTTGCCTCAATAAAAGAAAGTGACATCTCACAGGAACCACACATGTCCTATATCCCTGGATAGTTCTTGTCTGGGCGCCCAGATTGTCCAAATTGCACCCGTATCTATACGGAATTGTCCAGTCGCAAAGTTTTAGCTGGCCGCACACATGGACGAAGCCCAAAAGAGTTACAGGGTAACAAGTGGTCTGGGCCGGTCAAGTATCTGGTGTTCCTGTGGTTGGAAAAATATAGTGAATATTGTCCCCAGTCTATAATACCTTTCCGCCAATTATCGCTCTCCTAGGTTTTCTACAAATGAGGCCAAATGATGGAACAAATCCTTCCGGAACTGCGTGGTAGATTGGCCAAATATAGTTTGTGAAGAACTGCCCTATGGAACTTTCCCGTTTTACCGAAACCAATTTGATTCCCCTTGGTTTGGTACTTCTAAACTACCAAGCACCAACCACCCCCTGGCTCATTAACTGCAAAGAAACCACAAACTTAAGTACGCTCTCTGGGTAGCTATTTTGTCTCCCGATCGCAGGCAGTGGTACTTGGTTGACTTTACCGCACGAACCCTGGGAAACTCATACCATTGCCTACTCCATTCCCAGACAAGCCAGGAGATCGCTTTTCGAGGGAAAGGCACCCCCGAACTGGGAGAACATTCGCTCCATATGAGCCAGGCAGAGCCTTCGTTTACATTCGTATAGGAACTCCCAAAAATTGACCGGCCACTACCCCTTTTCCTCTGGAACTATTTTGGGCAGCAGCCACATGTGCGGCTGGTCAAAACGTTACCACGGTGGTGATTTGGCTATATTACATGGATCTGATCGCTATTTGGGCGCTCAGATCCAGGATATAATATTTGTTGGTGTTCCTATCAATATTGTGTGTATTTTGGAGTGTTTTCTATGTATGTAAGGTGCCTGTGAGATAATTAGTTTAAGTAAAAGCAAACTCACTTATCTCCCAGACACAGAGACGCCTGGGTGGGCTTAACTATGTTTCTGCTGGAGACCCTTTGCTGGGGGTCTATGTATATAAGCTGGCAACTTGGCCATAAAAAATATTCCTGTTTTACCCTTCATCAAGTCTCGACTGATGTTTGGGTATGCGATAGAGTGAGCGTTACATTCATACGAAACTTGCACTCTGGGTACCGGAGGTTCGTTACATAGTTCCACGGAGTTGACACCCAAGTACCGCTGTCATCGCTCGATAGTCAAAATGGACACCATCTTTCACTGCACGTGTTCGGTGGCCACCTAGCAAGAGTGCTTCGATGACGTTCAGGAGAGGGAAGATATAGAGCCCAGGGAACACATAGGGTTTGGTAAACAAAGGGGAATGAATCCTCGTTCGAGAAACGAACAGGGGAGGTACAGGCAACCGAAAGTAAAGAAGATCAGTTCTGCTACAGTATGCCTCTTTGTCCCCCCAACCCTTCTATGTGCCTCTTTGTCCCCCTCATCAAACTCTCTATATATTGTATTCCTTAAAGCTACGGGAACTCTTCTCATTAAACCCTCTACATATTGTATTCCTTAAAGCTACAGGAACTCTTTTCATCAAACACTCTACATATTGTATTCCTTAAAGCTACAGGAACTCTTCTCATCAAACACTCTACATATTGTATTCCTTAAAGTTACAGGAACTCTTCTCATCAAACACTCTACATATTGTATTCCTTAAAGCTACAGGAACTCTTCTCATCAAACTATCTGCATGTCGTGTTCCTTAAAGCTACAGGAGATCTTCTCTTCAAACCATCTACATATCGTATTCTTTAAAGCTACAGGAACTCTTCTCATCAAACTATCTACATATAGTGTTCCTTAAGGTTACAGGACTCATCTCATCAATCTATCTTCATATTGTATCCCTAATCTACATGAACAATTCTCATCAATCTACCTTCAAACTGTATTCATTAAGGTAACATGAACTGCTATCTTCATATTGTGTTCAGTAAAGATTCATGAACTATTATTATCAAATTATCTTCGTATTGTATTCTTCAAATTACAAGAACTGTTCTCTGCAGTCCTCCTTCTCGTAAAACTCCTTAATGAGGAATTGTTCCATCTAAATTCTAATTACTACTCTAAAAACCCTAAGGGTTCTCCTAACTATATTTCTGCAGTTGAGTTCCACTCCAAATCCATAGGAAACATAACAATGGGACAGAGCAGGGCCAGGCCAAGAATTCAAGAATGAAATGCTGCCACCCAAAAAAAAAGCCTTGGCGCACATCCATTATGTTATGCAGTGTGTGTAGTGAATGCAGTGTCAGTGAAGGAGATGGCAGTGTGTGTATTGTATGCAGTGTGCATAGTGAATGCATTGTGTATGTTTGTGTACTGTTTTAGCCTTGTTTTTGGCTGAACTGGAGTAACTTTTTAGTATACATTAATTTAACTAGTATTCCACTCCCAAATGTGACGTTTGCCGTTTAGAGCTGGCTCCTAAGGAGAAGGTAAGAGTATGAGATATCCACCTAATGCTTGCACTATCTCCAAATGCATCACGACTCTTACTCTACAACTCCTGGCTGCAACAGCGCAAAAGGAGAATCTATGAAGGGGTCACAGACTCTAACAGTTACCGGCAGACAGTTACCTCTTTCCTTTATGGCACTGGGGAAGAGAAACGGAGGCATTGCAGTCCCTGGTGTCTAGTGGTTGGGGAAGCAGGGACTCGTTCCTGCTTCCCTCTTAGTGTGCAGCAGTTACCAGGCAGCGGATTCAGGTGGAATTTAACTCCGTCCCCGCTGCCTGTATCAGTGGTGCAAGACCTTGATGGAGTATAATCCTCTACCTGGGTGCTGCGCAACCACTATACATAGAGGGACAGGGGTGCTCTTTGCAAGTAATGGAGGTGAGGGGAGCATAAGGCATTCACATATTAAGAGGTCCGAAAGAGAAAATTGCCATGATCTGATACTGCATTGTAGTTTTGTAGTTAAACTTGTCAGATCCAAAATGTTCTCCAGGACATTTTTCAATTGTTCAAGCTGCTGGGCAATATATGAAAAGTGCTGCCCTGCAGTATGTGGAATGCATATGTTACAGGAGATAAATCAATTAATTGATAATGGAGGAATCTCAGATGAACTGCCCCCATTAATTATTTTTCTTCTTTATACTATAGGGGAGCACTTTTCATGTTCAGTACATCAGCATGACAAAGTCATATTGTGCTGATGAAAGCTAAAAGGATATGGCAAAACTAATTGTAGTACATGTGTATGATCTGTGTAGGAGTGTGTGTCATACTTCGTATCATTGCTCTCTATAGCCCAAGATGCCACAAGCATTGTTCCCTGGGATCTATGTCTGGAAGACAAAAACAGCCTTAATCTAATCAGAGCTTTATACCTTGTCTAACATGTAATCAAACTATTACCTTGGTGTATCTCAAAGCAATAAGCTTAATTAGACACTAAAATAAGGTAACCATATTTCCATTTAATGAAAGATAGTTATAATAATAATATTAATTAGAAAAAGAATATGCCCTCTGGGCTAGCAATTATTTTAATATATTTATTTAGTATACATTGCAACTATCTCTCGTAAAGTAAGACATCTACCCTAAAATCATAACTTGTTTCTCTGCTGGCGTATATGATGAGCTCTGATATAATTCTAACAAAAAAAAAACCCCTTATATTTCCCATAGGAATACAAAATAATGTCATGGTTATTCTCGAAATGGGAATTTTAAGCAAAAGTGAATTTCACATTTTAGGCACAAATAGCCAAACTGGAAAAGCTCTCTATGTTTCTAGCTTGAAATTCACTTTTAGGTTTGTTCACTAAACACTGGATTTTAGCAAATTAAATCTAAATGGCAAATTTAATTAATCACAGGACCACCATGTCTACAGAGGGTTACAGCCAGTAGTGTAAACAGTGCTCTGGTGCCTACATGGGACCCTGTAATAATATGTGGTCAACTTCAGGTGAAATACAAGTCTATCTTAACCCCTTAGTGACCAGACCGTTTTTAAATTTTCTTACCGTTAAGGACCAGGGCTCTTTTTAAATTTTTGCTGTGTTTGTGTTTAGCTGTAATTTTCCTCTTACTTATTTATTGTACCCACAAATATTATATACCGATTTTCACGCCATTAAGTGGTCTTTTATTATAATTTATTATAAAAATGTTTTATAAAATATGCAGATTTTTTTTTCAAAAACACACCTTTTCTATTTTTTCCCCACCAAAATCTATTACGCATCATGGTGATCACATGGCCCTGGAGGGCCGCGGTGGCCGGAGCCCTGGCAGGGCTCTCGGGCAGTACCCCCCGACCGGGCTTGCCGCGGATCACCAGTCCAGGTAAGTCCAGGGGTCATTCTTGCCGCGGACTGTGATGGTCCACCTGGCACCCCGACCAGGTACCTCCGTCAATCGCTGCTTCCTAGTATTAACGAGTGCCACAAGCACTGCGCTGGAACACCATAACTACTGCACACCCCACAAACCGCCGCAGCTTGGTTGGGGTCTCGCCGACCTCCAACCACCGTGGACCCAAGACCAGGATCCAGCTTCCAGTGGGTAGACCTCTCCTAGTCCAGAGAGCATAGCAGGAACAGCTCTTACAAGAGCATAGTGATTATAGCAATCCCCAGAGTGTAGTTCTCCAGTCCCCCAAACATGAGCTGAAACTTCATTAAGGTGCAAGATGATCTCAGAGTTTAATGGTACCGGTTGGATTTTTATAAATCTTCAGGCCAGAGGAACACCCACTGGACCTGAAGGGGCACAGGACACAAATTTTACAGACCAATAGAAACAATGTAACAATGCCTGACACTCCCATATATAGCACACAATCCCTCCCCTCTGACTGTGATACAATTAAGGTAGATAATGTATTAACATAATTATCCCCAAGCATAAAAAACACATATTTTACAAAACCCCAAACGTACCCCAAAACATAACATATCCCCATCTTACATACCCTGATAGCCCTGGTCTGGGTGAACAACATATCCACAAATCACCCAGATCAGAGCAGGGGTTCAGGAAATTCCTGGAAGTCTTATTTTTGACCTACCGTGCACATGGTCCCATGCCCAAAACAGTTCCAGAGAATTAGGGCTAACGGTCGGTCTCTCTGTCTGGAGTACAAAAGTACATACTTCACATGAACAGAGCCTTTTAAAGTGCATTGGGCAAGGTATATTGCAGAGGCAATAGGCTGGCCAGCAGGCCCCTCCAAGAACCCTTGACGAGGTTCAGTTTGTCACAGGGTAGGAGGCTGGCAAACAGGCCCCTCCAGAAGCCAGTGATGAGGTTACTTTCGTCACACGGACGTACTGGGTACATCCGTGGTCATTAACGGCCATTGTTTTTCGGATGTACCCAGTACGTCTGAGGTTGGGAATGAGTTAAAGGAAATTCGACGAAATACTTTTTTTTTTTTTTTTTTAAAGAGCACTATTTAGTAAATATACCTGCAATAACAACTTGTAGGCATTTAATTATGTATTTTGTTATTGGGCTTACATCTAAAAAAAGATTGCAAGAGCTGTAGATCTCTTGTCTGCTGCCTTTGCAAGCCCTCCCCTTCTAACCCCGCCCAGACTTTCTGTGGCTGTCCAATCACAGACTTCCAAATGTAGCTCAATGAGAAGTCTTTGCAAGACAGCTGCTGTAGGCAGTTGCTGCCTCTGAGTTTAGCTCCACTGAGCTAACCAAACCATGAAATAACAGGACCGATTGATTGACAGCCAGGAGGTGTAACCTGGTTAGTTTATAAAAATGCCAATTTCTTTTGAAATCTGTACTTTTTGTAAAATGAAAAGAGAGGGCCCACTCTTCGTATATAAAGCATTTTAGCAAACTCACGTGCTTAAGGGGTCTGGAGTGTTTATTTAACCAGTCTGCACTGTGGATTAGCAGTGGACCAAGCCACTTACTGGATGGTACTGTCTTCACTATTGTCATACTACTCGGTGGTGCTGGCTGTAAGCGATATCATATGGGACACAAGGAAAGTAATGCAGCCCTTTGCTTGCAGCACTGCCTTATCCCCACTAGACCACAAAGGAAGTAACCCACCTGCTGCAATAGGGGAAGAGATGGGAGAATGTCTGAAAAGAAATGTGTTGTGGGGGCAATGTGTTTCTAAAGATTTGTGTGACACTGTTTGTATGTAGGGATGAATGAGTGTGAATGTAAGTGAAAATGTATGGCTGTGGAATTGTGTGTATCTGAGTGTGTGGAAATGCTTGAGGGGTTTTGTGGGAGTGTGGCTATGTGTGTGTGCCTTGTTGTGTGTAGCATATCATTTTGTGCCTGTCTGTATAGCTGTATGTGTTCCTCATACTGACAGGAAGCACTCTCTAATACTCTGTAGAATTCAGAAGTGCACATTTTCAGATTTAACTAAACTGAACATGATCTCTTGAATTTTACAATTATCTGGATGGTGTTATCTTAGAGGTTGTCGGGTCTGTTTTGTTTTATTTTTTGTAATCTTAGAGGTATCAGATTTTCCGTGAGCATTTTGATTCATGACCCTGTCTTTTTTACTTTAGTTTTTTATACTAGATTTAGAACATTCTAGCGTGCTCTTTAAAACCCTGCACGTCATAAAAAAAACTCTGTACTGTCCTACAGGTGTCAGGCTGAATATGTTCCTGAATATCTCTCTCGCTCTCTTTCTCTGCTCCTGCTGTCTGAACAATGACTCACGGTCCTCTTGTCAGCTGCAGGAGAGAGGGGGGGGATATCAGATACACATACTGAGCACAATTAGCAGCCTAATTGATGTTACATGGGGATATCACTGGCTAATTACATTGTGTAGCTAAGAGGAGGGGTTTTTGCTATGATTCTTATATTCGCACACTCCATGTCCAAACAGAGGTGGCATCATTGACCACTTATATTTAACAGACAGGTCTGCCAATAAGGTTCTTTGTATCGCTCTTCCCACTCACTGCACTCTTCAGATTAAGTCTTAAATCTCATTGTTTGACAAGGTATTCTGGCATGCTCGGGTTACATAGCCGTATGCTTCATATTTAATTAGCAAAAAAGAAATAAAAAATCTTTCACAAACTTTAAACGTGTGTGTCTGTGTCTGTCATATATATTACATGTCTATAGAAACCGGAACTGACGCCATTTATAATTGGATTATTTTTTGTTCGTTATTTTTGATGCATGCCTATAATACGCTGTTCTAGAGGCACACATTAGTTGGCGCAGTAGAACACAAATGCAGTGTATTTTTTTTTTTATATACTCAAGAAAAAAAATGAAATTTCTCATGATCTACTTAGTATATGACAAAAAATAACATCCCTGCGTTGACTTGAGATTATATTCGTTTTCAGTCTCATATGGGTTTCCAGATCCTTTCAGGTGTTCTGGGCAGAAATCACCTTTTCACTGTTATGTGCTGATGGGTAACTCCTAAAAGTGCTACCCTGCAGTATATAGCATTCAAATGCTGCTGGAGGGAAATCAATAAATGTATCAATGCAGCTCCGTTGGGATTCCTCTAATTTACTAAAGTAATAGCATGTCCAAGAAAACACGGTGGCACTGTCACCTCGACATATTATACTTAAGACCATTCAAAATTGTCTTATTCTTATATAAACAATAGTACCATGTACCCATCAGACATTATTACGTTAGCTGACTAAATTGTAAATTCTCAACATTTTAGATCAAAAGTGCCAGATCAGAAATATTTTCTGGTTTTAATCTGAAATGTCTTATCTGGTACTTTTGAACAAAAATTTTAAATTCACTTTGATTTTCTGTCAATTCATAATTGTCTCAATAACCATGTGTTTGCTGCAAATCCCATGATATTCTGGTATGGGTTTCCTAACTATGATTTTATATATGATTTGTGGAAATTATTATATACACTGATAACATTTTCTTGCATTTTTTTCATTGGGGTAATATCTAAAAATACACATAAATTAAGCCACAAGTTCAAACTTCCACTACTCCTGGGCGGCAACAACAGCCACAGTATTAATCAGCCAAAATACATAAAACAAAAGCAAAAATAGTTACCTGCTCATTAACCCCAATAACTAATGCACATTTAAATAACATTATGACTCCACCATTAAAGTGCAAGCTCACTTGCTCCGTCATAAAAACAGCTTACAAAAGAGGCAGATCTCTTGTCTGCAGGCTTTGCAAGTCTTCCTCTTCTAACTCAGCCCACACTTTCTATCAATGAGAAGTCTTTGCAAGGCTGGTGCTTTAGAAATTGAATGCTTCTTGAGTTTAGCTCCACTGAGCTAAACAAACCAGGAAGTAATATGACCCCCAGGGGGTGTAACAAGGTTAATTTATAAAAGTGCCAATTTCTATTCAAATCTGCACTTTTTATAAAATGAAAAAGGGAACACCCTTTTCACATATATAGCACTTCAGAACTTCAGAAGTGCTTTAGGTAGTTTTCCTTTAATCAATTGTTCCCTCTGAAGTACATTCTGGGGCGTGGAGGCAGAGAAATCCATGGGCCACTTTCTGTTGTACCAAGCAGTGGATAAGGTGATCGTATTGCACCATGTGAGACAGATTTATCTTTTCTGTTCCCTCCCTGCTGTTACTAGTAGATACTTTAATTTACAACATTCCCTGCATTCCAAAATAAAGCATGAAATATAAATATGTTCCAGTTATTGAACTCCTCCCCTCTATTAGACACCAGATGTAGGTGATTTTGCATGGGGTGCAGTGGTCCTGAGCCTCCTATGGATGCTGCTGACTGTATCCGCAGTGAGCCTTTGTCACACCAGCAGACATGAGCGATTCATATTAAAGATAATGACCTGTAAGAACCCCTGTAAACCCACATTTCTCATGGGTGACCAAAAAGCAGGTCAACAAATGCAAAAACACCATAGAATTCTTTGCTTTTCAACAGCTGGAGATCTGGACGAGGAGGGGACATGACATCCGGATCTGTTGCCGCATGTTGAAAGATTTGTATTTGACTGCAAGTGTTTGCAATGGCATGATGCTCCAGGTAGATTATATTTCATTTCTGTAGAAGCTCTGCTTTTCTGTGCTGTTTCAGGATGTGACCACACGGAAGACCTAAAAAGGACCAATAAACTTTATTTTCCAAGACACACCAGCCTGAAATACAGAGCCTTAATTGGCTGACCTTAATTCTCGCATCTTCCGTTTTCCTCTCAAACACTGTTACTCTGCAGTTTTCTACCTGGATTTAAGAGCTTTCAGCTCAACTTCTCTTTTGTCCAGCTGACTTAAAAGCTGTACTTTATCTCTGTCAGCTGCTTTTTTCTTGGAGCGTAGCGGATCTAATTTAGCTTCCGTTTTTGCAGTCGGTGGTCATTTTTAACTGTAGTTTTTCCAGCTCTGTGTGCAACACACATTTCTCCAAAGCTCCATTTTTCTTTCTATTGCCAGCAGTTTTGCAAGTCTCTGAAGTCTTTGTTCCATTAGAAAAATCTAGATCAGGCTTGAGTATTGAAGCTATCATTATGGAGTCTGGTCGATGCAAACAAAAGTGGGAGCAGAATTCCCTGCCACAGTGTTCTCCAGCTTTGCCACTTTTACTCGTTACTGTGACCATGTTTATGGTTTTACCGTGAAGCAAGAAATCAACTATGCATGTTGCTAAACACAGTGAACTTCTTCTCTGCTTAAGGAGTTCTGTATGAGAAACCTGGATGAAGTCAGGAGCACAGCTTTGAAAATAACCACTTCCTGTGGAGAACTTGAATATAGACGGGATTCCAGGAAGTATGTGATAACATGTAGGCTAACACAGACAAAGGGATATATAAAGCAACAGAAGACTTGTAAATCTAGAACTGAGTGACTTTAAAGAATAGAAGGGTCCAAGGAGTGTTTTCAGTTCTGGTTCAATTGTCAAGGTGAATGCAGTTGATTCATAGTTGTAGAGGCAGGCCAAGGGCAAGGAATTTAGAGATCACATACATCTGATGTAAGGGTGTGCTAAGCTTCAGGTATAGAGTAAAAGTATGTCAAAGCACCGTTTGATGCTCACCCTAGGGATGCATAGAGTAGGCCAGTGTTAGGGCACATACGCAATGCAGAATCCTCTACATCCCATAAGTGTTGCAGGTTGAACATTCTGACTATAATTTCAAGATGCAAAAATGTGCAAGTGTACCGTGACCTGACTAGCTTTAATTTACTCACAATTAATTCATTGTTGCAGGTGTGTAGAATGATACGTGCATGCACCATTGTCCATATCCCAGAGATGCCTATAAGTGGCCACAAATGTCACAATGTGATGTCATTTCACAATGCAGACAGACCTAATTAGGGTTTTTTTTCAGTACATGCCCATCTATTGTATGCTCTACATGGCGTACTGAATATAATAATACTGGGCTATTTTACTCTGTAATACATAATCTTGTTTTACTATTCCATTGAGCATTATTTTTAAATATATTTCCATTAGAAAATAAAAACTACTCCTACTGGTATAATACCATTATAAATAAATTTGTATTTACAGTCAATAAAAAAAATTATTATTCTTAGGAATTTCTTTTCTCTGTGAGTCAAGCATGGCAACTTCATGGAAATACAAACGTATTCATTCATTACCAGTTTTATTGCAAATTATGGCTTATTTGTTAGTAACCAATAATATTGTGCAATACTGTAATAAAACTTTAAATAAAGGTACTGTGTGGGCACCCAGACCACATCATCTCAATTAAGTGGTCTGGCTTCAATGTCACTGTTTTTAACCCTGCAACTGAAAACATTGACATTTGCATAAATGACAATGTTTTTATTGCAGGGTTAACATGCTTCAGGAATATATCCACTATTTATTTATAAAATATTTTACCAGGAAGGATACATTGAGAGTTCTCTCATTATATCATGGGCCCACAACATTCTATTGTTTTAATAGGGTAGAATATAAATTTAAAAATACAAAACAATATTAAAATGCACATATATCGGGGGGCGTGGCCTGACGGGCGATGCGGATGGTCGCACAGTGCTGAGCTCCGCGCACCGACGGCCCGAAAAAGCTAATTTCTAAGCAGTACCGGCAATTATCCGACCCACACACAACCCCCCCAGGCATGGCAGCACAGAAGGCCAAGAAGCAGGCCGAGAAAACCGATCGGGCCGGCTTTTTTGCGACCCTAGCGTCGACGCCAAAATTGATGGGCCTAGCTGACCAGGGACAAGATGGCGACGGAGGTAATGACACACTGCCACTACCAACATCCCCAGGCACACAAAACCTGCCAGTTACCCAAGACTTCCTACAGAAGTGTCTAGACACCATGTCCAGCAGGATTCTTGAAACCCTGCAAGGTACACTAGGAGAAGTGAAAAGGGAGATGCAGGAGCTGGGGGACAGGACTGCACAAGTGGTGAACCGTGTGGAAGAACAAGCCACTGTGCATAATGCTATGGCAGAACAAGTACAAGAGCTGCAACAACAACTTGACACCACGCAGAGGAAGGTCATGGACCTAGAGGACCGATCGAGACGTCAGAACCTTAGAATCAGAGGCATCTCTGAGGAGGTTAAGCAGCAAGATCTACATGAATACCTAATGGGGTACTTTAAAGCGATAGCACCAGATCTGCCAGCTGATATTTTACTGCTGGATAGATATCACAGAGTGCAAAAACCGGCGTTTTTACCACAAGACACCCCCAGAGATGTGCTAACTCACCTACACTACTTCCATGCTAAAGAAGCACTACTTCAAGCAACGAGAACGGGTGGCGACCCACCACAAAAATACAAACATATCAAAATGTTCACAGACCTCTCTGCGGCTACGCTGCAAAAAAGAAAAGAATTTAGGGAAACAACTGAAACCCTCCGCTACAACAATATACAGTATAGATGGGGATTCCCTATCCGCCTCCTAATTAGAAGGAATGGACTGGTGACCACAGTGAACACCCCAGAAGAAGGCCGCAAACTGCTGGAACGTCCTGCCAAACCCGGAGAAGAAAGAAGCGACTGCAGCACGGAGAATGCCAACTGACTGGAAAAAGACTAAAAAATGAACTAACACAGAGACTTTTTTCTTCCGTTGAGGACGCTGAGGCAAAGCCTGAAGTCTGGCGGTCGGAGAAGTGCAAGTATTCCCAGCACTACACGCCTAACCATAAACATTTACAAAACACACATGACACATTCACTCATAAGCACACAGGATATTAATGTATATATAGATACATACACACACGCAAAAAAAAAAAAAAAAAGGCCAGGAAGGCTTGACGTGCATTTGAACCATGAACATAACACAAAGCCCATAACCCACACACACACACACACGAAAAAAAAATAAAAATAAAAAAATAAAATAAAATAAAGTAACGCAACCTATACGCCACAGCAACAGCCGGTAGATTCACACATACAATGATTGCAACACGAAGGTGAATACCGAGGGAAAGATTCGGGCACCCTAAGTGCAACCAATTACACCACACCTTAGAAGTCGACAGAGTAACCACGCTCCCACCTTGCACTATCGTGATACCCTTCAGTGGGAAATGTATACTGAACCGTTTGTAAATGTATACACTTATGTTTTATTCTATGTGACTGTTATATATGTTGTTTATACTGCCAATTCCTCATACCTACCCTCTACCACCTTGACCCTGACCCCAAGCATTGCAGAGCCCCACAGAGTGAACTATGGGGACAAAATACACAGGAACCCCTGGGAAGGCAGGTACCTCATCAGGGGGATTAGTACACAGACAAACAGAACCAATACTTGTATAACACATACATTAAATCATGAAAATATACAACCACAATGTTAAGGGGTTGAATACCCCAGTAAAGAGGTATTGTCTTACCAGAGACCTGCGCAGGTCACGCCCAGATATAGTGTGTTTACAAGAAACGCACTTTAAACAGGCGTCCATACTAGCAAAAGCACAATATCCGGTACAATTCCACAGCACTGCCACATCAAAAACTAAAGGGGTTGCCATAATGATTAGCAAAGAGGTATCCTTTAAGCCCTTGTACGAAGACACGGACACACAGGGGAGGTTTATAATACTGGCGTGTGAAATTAACAATTTAGAGTACACTATAGTGAACATTTACGCACCAAACGCAAACCAGAGAAACTTTTTGCACAAAATTATAACGCGACTTGCACGGGTCCAGAGGGGCATCACGTTCATATGCGGGGACCTGAACCACATACTTGACCCCAAAAGAGACTCAACGGTAGGACCAAACACACCCAGACACGCAACCCTCACACGAGAATGTAAGCCCCTGGTTCGCTTGTTTAGCGAACATGACCTATATGACGCGTGGAGGGTATTGCACCCGGACGAGAGGGATTATACATTTTTCTCCCAAGTCCACAATACCTACTCTCGGATAGATGGGTTTTACGTAAAGGGAACGTTCCTTAATCAATTAATAGCATGCTCAATAGGGAACATTACGTGGTCCGACCACGCCCCAGTTACCCTCGAACTGCGAGATGCATATGACTATAAACACAGAAGCCCGTGGAGACTGAATGAGACTCTCCTAAACGACACCCAATTTTGTGAGACCCTCACTGACGAATTACACAGGTACTTTACTACTAACCAAACGTCGGAAATCACGCCAGAGACGCTATGGCAGGCACACAAACCGGGATCCCTCATAGGTAGGGCGAGCGCACTGATACGGGAGTCCCAAACCAAAATGAGGCACTGGCTAAAGTCACTATATACCCTCAACAAACAAAACCAGTTGACCCCAACTCCTGAGCTCAAACGGCAAATTCAGGACAAACTAGGGGAAATTAAAGAGCACGATCTGGCAAAAACAGGGTACCACCTTAGAAAACTTAAGACGACACAGTACGTACAGGGCAATAGAGCAAGCAGACTATTAGCCAGGAGACTGTCACACAGAAATGTAAATGCCAAGATCCCATTCATTCACAACCAAACAGGGGAAAAAAAGGTGACACCCAAGGACATTGGGGACGTATTTGCGGATTACTACACATCTCTATACAACCTGGAGAATGCGGTTGACACGAGCCAGCCAACTACGGGCGGTATAGAGACATACCTAGCGGGGATATCTCTACCATCACTGACAGTGGAGCAAATAGCTACAGTACAGGAAGATATCACAGCAACAGAAGTACTTCAGGCCATATCCCATCTCCCAAGCGGGAAAGCCCCAGGCCCAGATGGGTTCCCCAACAACTACTACAAAAAATTCGCACATACTCTAGCCCCGCACTTAGCAAACTTATTCAATGCACTCACTCGCAAAGCGGACGCTCCGGCGGAGATGCTGGGCGCACACATAGTAACACTGCCTAAACCAGGAAAGCCACCGACATGTAGTCAAAATTTCAGACCGATCTCGTTACTCAACACGGACATTAAACTATATGCAAAAATACAAGCCAACAGAATAGCGGACATAATCCCGACATTAATTCATGATGATCAGGTGGGATTCACAAAAGGCAGACAGGGCTCGGACAGCACCAGGAAGGTAATTGACCTACTATACAGCCTGACTGACAAAGGTGAGGGGGGGATACTTCT